TCCCTTCAGGAACAGGTGAAGGCAGCGTTACCTGCAAGGTTCACAGGATACGAACCCCATAACCGTGTGTGGATCAGAGCACTGATAAAATGAAATGCTCTCCAGTTATTGTCACAGAGGGCCAATAGTCCTGACCTCTGAAAGCATTGGATTGCTCAGGGATAGGAAACCTGAGTACCTGGAAGGAGTGAAAATGTAAAGTAGTCCCCCAGAAGAGAATTAAAATTAGCCTACCTGACCGGGCTCTGCTAGCCACAACTGGGAGTGTGCAGGGAGGGAACTAACCGGCTTCCCACCTAACAAAAGACTAACAGCCATTAAACTGACCAGGACAATATATGCATTTGGAACTGACGCAGGCTTTTGAGGCAGCAGCTTCTTCCTTTTCCTGCTTCAGTTCAGGATGGAGATAAAGCAGGCACCAGTTCCTCTGGCAAAGAGCCTTACACACTTTTAAAAAATTAAAATACAAAAAAGGGAGACAGGTGTATTTACAAAATCCATGGCTGGTACAGTACATCATTTTTAAGACACACTAAATGCTACAATCTTTCAGGTCCTGAGATTATTACAAAAAAAGAAACCAACAAACAAACAAACAAAAAAACAAACCCCAAAACAAAACAAAAACATACCCCAACAACTCAAAACTTGTGTTCAGGTCCAGTTTTAAAAGGAGAGAGGAAAGAAACCACACATTTAAAACACAGTATCCCTTGAAGTTACAGGAACACACCTCCCTAAAAAATCCAAATGAAAGTGGTGCTTGCCACCCAAATGTAGCTGCATTTGGTTGTTCAGGCTTGTAGTCACAAGAAGGGAGCATTTCTCGGGGCAGTTTCCCTGGAGAGCTCATCAGGTAAGCACAAGGCTGTTGGGATCCTCTCTCCATCACTAAGCCCCTATGATCCAGAACGCGCGAGTGTTAAAAGGAGGAAGGTGACCTTGTACAAATTCATGCTGGGCTGAGTAAAGCATCACAGGAATCACCAACTTGAACAGGTTAGCCATCTCATAGTAACTGTGCTCTCCTCTGTTTGAAGCCAAGGAATGCAAAGAATTCTAGCTGTGATTTAACACGAATTAGTTACGAATTAGAAACAAAAAAAAATCCTCCAACTTTGTTCTGAGCTCCCCACTGAAAGGCAGCAAAGCAGTTTCTCAGCCCTTCATCGTCTGAGGAATCACAACAAGTTAGGTAGAATTAAACTGGCTATATCCAAACTTGCTAAAATATATATATATATTAAAAGTGACACCAAACAAAGGACATGGAGGCCAAAGTGCTGTTGAGGGGATGATCCCCACTGCCTTTAGCTGTGCAGGGCACTCTTCACTGACCCTCTTTTATCAGGCTGGCCTAAAGGGACTTGTACCCACACTTGGTTTTTTTTTCCCCAATGAAGTATTCTGAACATAGAGATTTTGTATCATCAGAAGTTATCATCACAGATGCCCTTTTATTACAAACACCTGACCTTAAACTAGAGAATGGGAACTTTTTAAGGATTACTCATTAAATGCTTCTAACTCTCAGTAAAAGACTACAAGAGACAAACCACATTAACAAGGATACTAGTTTAACTGCTAAAATATAGCACTCCTCAGTAGACTTTTAGGGGGTAAAAAGCAGTAGTTAATTTTGTTGCTTTTTTCTTTTTTTAACAGTAGTCCAAAAATAAAATTTCTCCATCTACTTCCAGTACAGATCTTGATAACTATGCAAGAACATGGTACTAATTGCTACATGATGGAATCACCGGCAATAAAACACACACTACAGTTCTCATCTCTGAGCTAAATTGTTATTTGTAGTTACATACAACAAGACTAAAAGACCAGTGAGAAATACCTGGGGACTGTGATTTAGTTTTTATTTAGCTGGTAACTCCCCTTGTCTAGAAGCAACTTCATTTCAGTGAGAAATTAACTTAATTCACTTCTGATGCTGGAAAGAAACCTGGGATGTCTCAGGAGTTCCTTCCCAAATCCAATCTGTACATTAAAAAATATTTCTGCAGCTTCTTAATCCAATTGTGAGAGCTGAATATTCTAAAAAACTCTCAGACTAAAACCTGTCACAAGAAGTGATTTTAACTTCCCTCTCAAGCAACTTCATGACACTTGACACTACATGTTGCACCAGTGAAAGGATTTCTTTTTTAAAATACAATTTTTTTTTTTCATCTTAGCAAAAAGTTCTGCACTACAGACATTCAAAAATACTCCATTTTCTTTGGGTAAAATTTCAATGTGTTAGGGGTAGCTGGGGAAAGGAATGCATGTAACACTGAAACACATAAATACTTATCTGCATAGTTGATATTAGTGACTATTAATCAAACTAAGGCCTTATCTGGAAAAAGCTGAGAACACAAGAAAGTTTCTTCCCTCACTCTGGTGAAATCTGCTAGGTCTCATTGAAGCTCTGACTGCCTCAGCAACTGCTCAGTTTGGCCTATGATAGTGGCATCTCCTGACTGGTTTTGGTGGATTCTCTCCCACTCTTTTTCTCTTGGTAATACACAGTAGCAAATACAACTACTGATAAAATGCATCTGCACATTGCTAGGAAGTAACAAAAAAAATCCTTTTAGCATTGTGCATGACAGGAGCCAAATGTAATGTACACTGCTTGGCTGGGATTAGTTCACCATAATGAAAACCTTAGCAGCTAATGGTTATTGTTTAAGCAGGAGAAGACAACAATGGAAGAGACCGAAATACGCTTCTAGATACAAAACATGATTGTGTGGTTGGGGTAGAACTACAGCTGTCAAAAATGGCTACAAAATACAGGCCTATATCCTTGACTACTGACAAGATTAGCACAGTTTTACTTAACAGTGTGCAAGTACAGTTGCAGGGAATCTTTGTACTTCCCCAGTTTTGGGCCAGTTCCAGGCCAGGTTGATCTCTCAGCATAACTCAAAGCAGCACCAGGGCTTTCTAGAGCCCCAAAAGGCTATTACAGCAGCAAGGGATCACTGCATCGTAGAAAAAGGATGATGAAGCCTCACCAGAAATTTCTATAAACAAAGCATTCCCCTACACAACAGTTATCTTTCCAGTGGCCTGGTAAGCATACTTCTGGCTGCTTATTTTGGCAGTGATTTCTTAAACAGTAGACAGAGTTTACACCAGTTGCATTTGTTAAAGACTGCAACAGTCAGCCATCATCACCAGCTGTAGATTCCTCATCCCACAGATCAGCCTAGGATGAAGAGCATGTATGTTCAAAAGGAATTAAACAATGTAATTGGTGAATGTGGTAAACTTCACTGAAGTAACTTCACTGATGCACTTAAGACAGATTAAGAAGCCCCCTCAACTACCACTCCAACTGGCTGAGCTACCAGCACTAGTCCTGTCTTTGACTGGCACCATAAGATTGGTAGGAGAAATCCTATTATGGCCTAATTCACGTAACAGATTAACCCAAACATGCAATGACAAGCCAAGAACTGAGTTAGGTTATTCTCTGCCACAGGAACATATTTGGTACTGTATTTTCTGTTTTTCACACTGGTTCTCCACCCATGAAACACTCCTCGTTCCATTCCAACTCTGTAAAATAAATGCTTCCTTTTCATATTGCAACTCAAAATTAGATCTTCCCTTGGGGAAGCAGATCACAGAACTAGAACAGTCTGGTGATGCATATGCATGCTACCTTAAGTTTAGCACTTGGTGCACAAGTGAATTGCTAATTTCAGGTATTCATGTTTATAATAATCATAAGTTAGATCCTGGCACAAAGCTGTTAAAATCACTAGATCATCTATTGCAGATATCTAATTCTGTCTGAGAACAAGGAAACAAGCACAGATACTATTATGAGGGTTTATCTGCAGCTAAGAACACATGAACTTACTGTTCACTATAGTAAGAGAAGAAACCACTAATGAAATCTCAAATTGAGAAGTACAACTAGAAAAGTATGTCATGGTGAGTGACTTAGGCAGCATGTGAAGCATAGCTAGCTTTAAACTCAATTAGCAGCTGCACTCTTGGCAGGTTTTACTAAATTCCTTCTTACATAGGATGTATGGTGGAAAGTGTCAGCTTTGGTAAGTATGAGAATCCTTGCAGTAACTGGTATCAAGCAGATGTGACCAGCTGCACACAAGATTCTTGCGGTCAATCTCAATTCAAATACGTTGCAAGCTGCTATTTTAACTTTATTTAAGCCCCAGCTCGCTCCTTGGGCTGTCAGCCACACATCTCTGCCTCAGACTCGGTGATTGTGTGAAGCAGTCCAGTAATTGATAAGGTTGCCAAACAGGGCCCATAATGTTTTACTCATGACCTAATTAAGAAACAAATTCAAAACCTTCAGAGAAAAATGCAAGAAGTTTCATTCCCATTAGCCACTTCCTTTCTCTCATGCACCTTTATGCACACTCATGCACACACTCTTTTATTGTACTGCCATCTTTGCACAAACGTTCAGCCTTGAAGTAGCATTGAACAGAGCCAGGAGAATGGAGAAGGATGAACAGGTTTCAGGAATATTGCTTGTGTGTGTGTGCACGTGTGTGCGTGTCAGAGAGAATGCACAAGCACACAGAACCAATGCCACAGTACAGCAGCTATGAAGTTACACACATTACACACTTGGTTTTGTTTTTTTCTTTACAAAAGGGAAAAAAATAGTGTAACAGCATAAAGCCATCTTGGCAAGCTTAAGATTTTCCACCAAAATGCTTCCCAGCACTTCAGGATCTCTGAGGAAAGTTTAAAGAGGGTAGGGAAACAAAATTAAAAAAAAAAAAGGCACTTAAAAAAAGGACAAAGGCCTGAATCAAGTAAGTCATGAAAGGTAACAGCCATTTCACCAGAGCTTGGACCAATCAAAGTCTACCAACCTTTTTTAAAATTTCTATAAAATTAAAATTGCATAAAGTGTTAATTAATCATTTGTTTACCTAATGCTTTAACCATCTGGTTCATTTTATGAAAAAAACAAACAAAAACAAAACAAGTAACAAGGCCAAACAAAAAATCAAGTGTCCCTTTAATGATTTTTTCCCCCCAGTTCAGCAAAAGATGAAAGTTAGGTGTGGGAGGAAGCCTTCCACAGTTTGGCTTGGCTGTAGGTTTTTCCTGCAATGCCATCTTCAAAAAAAATCCAGAACTAAAGCAGAAGAGGGACCACTGTGCTTTCACCAATTCACTCAAAAACAAACAAATAAAAAAATTAAAACAAAAACCCCATCAACCCAAACACCCGAATGATTCTAATCCAACTGTGGGCAAAAACTAATCAAAAGAAAACAAAAAAGAAAATCTGTAAACTAGATTAAAAATCTTCTAATAAATACAGCCAAAAGTTCATTTTACGAATGTAGCAGCAAATGTGATAAAGTTAGTTGGAGTCCAGTGTGACTCCCAGAGGGTTACTGGTTCGCACAACTGATGGCAGCTTGGGAGAGTTGCAGAGTTCTTTGTTTTCATGTCCTCAAGTGTCTTGCACCAAGTGGAGAAGGAGCGTGGAGGAAGGGTCAGGTGATGGGACTGCAGGAAGGAACAGGCTTTTAGCACCTGTTCCACCTCGAAATCCGTGCATCAGACAACTTTGATCTTATTGAAACACAAAGCAGAACCCAAGTGATTAAAAGTTACTTCTGATTAGCAGAAAACAGATGTGAAACCCACAGCATCCGCACTTGTGACTCAGTTGATCAGCATTTAGACATGTTTCTCAAATCAACAGAGAAGGCTGGATAAAGTGACTTAGGCCATTTGTATCTTGGAATGGGAGAACACTGCAGTTATAGTCCAAGAGATCAGGAAACTCTGCAGCCTGTTTTTCATCTAGCCTGCCTTCTTTCTTTGCAAGAGTCTCTAATGATTTAAAATAGCTACCATGGTTTTTGGGACTTTGGATCATGTAGCAGGGAATACTACCCAGACAGTTTCAACATCTAAAACCTATTTTTGAAGTTATTGCTTGCATTTGGTTGGGGCTTTCAGAGAGCTTGACACGTTAGCTCATATACAGTCCCCAAACCAAGTTCAGCCCTGCTGCCTGGAAAAGACAGCTCTGCTTGGCTTTCTTATTGCTTGTGAATACTGAGGGTTTATTTAGTATGTACAACTACAGTTTATTTATTAACAAAGGCCCTTAAAAAGTAGTAAAAACCTGGGCAGGGGGGGAATGTCTTCAGAAGAGCTGCTGTGCAGAAAGTAGTAAAACATTAACCTAATTTTGCATTTGAACGTTGCAGTAATCTTCCCCATCCTGTCTATGCTACCTGCAAAGGTCTCTAGGAACCACCTTTTTATTTCCTTTGATTTGGCCTTGCTAGGCTTAACCAGGGAGAACAGAAAACAGCAAGTAAAGGATCCCCCACCCCCAATGTGGTTCATTCAAATTCACTCAGGAGAGTAATAACTAACAGGAGTGTGATGACTGAAAACAGTTACCTGCTGGTGGGGGGGAGGTTGTTTGAACTGATTCACAAACAATGGATGGTCATCTTTATTTTCATCATCCTAGTATCTATTTCCACAATAAGTATTAGTTTACTTGTTTCCCAAGACTGAGAAGCTCAACAGGACACAGAGGCAGGACTATTCCTACCCTCAAGACTTAGAGAGAATACTCTTCAACTGAAGATAAAGCATACTTCCAGGAAGAAAGGAATATTGAAAGGGAATTTGTGCTGTAGTTATAAAGGACTCCAAGTCTCCCAGTCTAAAATTTCAAAGATGACAATTTGAATGGGATGCCTTGATGAGGAAAACACAGAAGAGGTAGAACTCTCTTAGGACAGGGTCCTTTAAATATATTGCTGCCCAATGACTCACTGCTGCAACTCCCTTAGCTACATGCATCATTAAAGTTCTCAGGTTTGACACAGTTCAGAGAATTAACATCCTGCCAGAACTGTTAGACCTCAAAAAACAAAGTTGGCTTCCTTCAACCCTTCCTGAAAAAAAGAAAAAAATATCAGATTAAGCTTGCACTGTAAATAGTTTATGGTATTTTGACAGAATTTGTGTAGTATTAATGCCAGGGTCTCCATAGCTGTATGTGTTTCAACTCTAAACCAGGATGGAGATGCAACCTTATCTGATCAACACACCATATACAAAACATTAGCTCCAGCTAAAAAGTATTTAATTGGCAGATGCTGTGGAGTGAAACTTATGAACTAATGGATCTTAAACCAATCTGTCTTTCACAGAAGTGTTGTGCAAAAACATTTATTGCTGAGCTCAACCCAACATTTTTATACTAAATACACAATATATATTATTTTAAATTTATGTATATATATTTATATAAAATTAAAATGAGCTCTAAATAGAAAAGAAATTGTTGCCTGATCTAAGAAAAAATAAATCACATGTAAAAGAAACCTGCAAGCTCTAAGTTATCTAGCAAAAAACATTGAAGATTCATTATTCAGGGGTCAAAGTCTCTGTAAAAGGTGTGAGATAACCAGTAGTGTCTGGTTCAATCTCAAGTCAAACTACCAGAAAAACTATTTACTAAGAATTTCAGCATCTCTGGTCAAAGGAATGTTTCAGGGTTGAAGGAGAAGGGCATCATACTGGTTTATTTGCTCCTTTTCTTTATGACTTACTTAGTCATAAACAATTTTATGTTTCTGCCATTCTCACTTTTTATCCGACAGCACAAGGGACTCAACACCAAAGTTCTGTCCTAGTGTCAAAAGTGCAACATGTGCCGGATGCTTCCTAATCTTACATGTGAACTGGTTGATGTATTGCTATCAAAGAAAAAAAAACCAAAACAACAAAGCCAGCTCTGCAGTCTTGCGCTACCATGTAAAAAAGAGTTCAGGTCAAACTCCCCAGGCCAGCAGGGGCTGGAAATGCTGGAGACAACCCATTCAGCCCCCAGAAGAGAAGGCACCTCTGGTCGCTTTTGAACGACTCTTCTTTGGCTAATGCCTGAAGCAGTATTAATTTGACTCTGGAATAGGTCACAATAAGCTTTCTTTAACTAGCAAATCAATATAATGCATGGCTTTTGGGAGGAGTAAGATAAAAGATGAAGCCTGAGAATGAGAAAAGAACTGGTTGTGATTTATGAAAGACATGAATAGAGTATCTTTTCAGTAGCAAATAAGCACAAGATAAAAAGTTTAACAAAAGGAAATACTGAAACATTAGTGTGATTTAAAAATGTGGGAAAGAAATGCTAGTCTGACCAATAAAATGTGGGTTTCTTTTCATGTGAATGAATTTTCATCCCCTTCCTCCCTTAAATAAGAACTTTTGTACTTAAAAAAACCCTGAAAATTAACCAAAACAAATAGTCTGTGTCTCACATATTGATGTACCAGGAGATCTGTTTTTGAAGACAATTCTCTATTGAGACTGCATACATCTGTAGGCTCCCTAAAGCCAAACAGCCTTCTAAAGCTGGATAAATGCCCATTATCAGAAACTGCTTTTGTCTAAAGTTTTAATTATAATGCAAAGTATCCCAGCACCATCTCTATTCTACACAACCTTTGGTCCATAACTGTATAGTACACTCAGGACCTACACAATCTTACACTGGGCACTTTGGGCACTAAGGATGAATCCACCTTACGCAATGAACGGAGAAACCTATTCTAGCTCCTTTCACCATTTCCACTTTTCATTGGACTCCACCCAGAAACAAAATGTTGGTGCTGCTGTGGGTTTGACGATCAATTTCTTTTAAGAGCCAATCAGAGCAGATAAAAAAGGTTGTTTCTTTAGGCAATATCAAACTGTGACCAGTCTGCATGACCAGGAGGACCAGTCCTCCTTTTCCTTCTCTCTTTGATCAAGTATTTTTTTATTTTTCTTCTTCCTCTCACCACAGTGCTTAGGATCAGAATATGTAAACATTGACAGAAACAGCAGCCCTGTGACAATAAGCACTTTCCCAACTGGGCAGATTCTGTCAGCCAACCAGAACTGCTTCAGCTCCCTTGCTCATCCAGAAGTCACTGGTTTTTCCGCTGTAACTTAGTGTCCCCTTTACTTTGGCCTCCATCTGTAGTTGAGACACAGAAACAAAAGGGAAGAATAAAAGCATGAGTGAACTTTTGTTTTTGTAACTTACAGTAGGAGAGATGGGAATTTGGCAGGTTCAGCTTTAGCATCACCAAAAAGTTTTGTTTTTACTGAGTGGAAGACTTTGCATCTTCTCTGTAGTTCATTTATTAGAAATAGCGTTGTTGAAATCTGATGTATCAAGCTTCACACCAAAACACTGCCCAATTTTTTTGGTACTGAGAACTCTCAAATGAAGAACGCCCTCCAAGCCACTGCCATCTTTCCCATTCCTTCTCCTGGCCTGCAGAAAGCACACTATGAGTGACAAAGGTGTACACTCTAAACTGTGTATTCTAAAGCTTTCTGAAAATTTTCCTGCTCTAAGCCTTACAAACAGAAAAATAAAATCTACTGCTTCAAGTTTCCCTTCTCAATCAAAATATGCAACCCCTATCAAGCATAGAATTCCCAAGGAAAGCAGATATTCCATTAAGAAACCGTCCCACCATTCACATGTGAATATACTCTTTTAAGAAACATGAAAAAAGCTTTTAGCTTGAAGGTCAGTTCTTCCTTCAGAGGGGAATTGAAAATTTTTAGTGGATAAACTTTATATGCCTGTAAACAATCGTGTTAGTCCAGCAAGTACTATTCCTTTTTTCCCCACCAGTTGAATTTGTACACTTCAGTTTCTAGAATTGCTGCAGATAAGTACTGGAATTTTTGAAATTTTTTTGTTCCTGACCTTGAAGAGAAATAGGGGAAAAAAAATCATTCAGGTTCCAAAAATACTGCTACAATAGTGTAAGTTCTGCCAGCTGCTCCCAAAGTTTGTCTCTATGTTATGTCTTCTCTAAACTAAACACTGGTTTTATACATTATATTTCAGTCTAAGGCAGAAATCTGACTTTTAAGTTAAAATAAGTTAAAAATAAGGAATAAGAAATATATCATATCTTTACTACCTGTGTAAGCTTGCTGCAAGTGAGCAGGCAGAGGTGAATGAGACAGCGTTGCTGCATGCTGAGCACCTGGCTGTAAACCCTTCAGTAAGTCTGGGGGGGAAATAAGGAGAACAAAGATAAAAAATAAATCTTAAGGAGAAAGGCAGTTTCTGTGAAATGAGTTTTTGTAGTGTAGCTGTAGTAGCAGGCTTATCTCCAAAATAAAGAATAAATACCTAATAGCACTCTGATGGCTGGAATAAGTCAACAGAGACAAACCTATTCAAATATAATTAGTCAGTAGTCAGAGCAAGGAACATGCCTTACTACTGGGATGCAACTCTTCATATCATTTTGTTTGGAAGAAAAACCAATATTTTACATGGCTTAAGAACGTAAATACCTTCTTTATAAGCAATCATAAAAAGTAAATGCCATCTTGGTTGATAATTCGTCATAAGAGAGCTGTTTAATATCTGAGATTGAGTTACAGCTACTTTTAGGAATCACCATATTAAGTCTCTTATTTCAACAATGACATTTGAAGACTTTTTTCTAAAACTAAGGTATTAGAAGTTAACCCAAAAAAAGTACATTCAAAACTAAACATATACTGTGACTATAACAATGAAGTTAAGCTTATCAAAGGTGATTTATATCACTTAGGTAATTATGTAAAGAAAGTTTTTATCCGTGAAGGAAAGCAATTTACAGTCCTGTAGGGATTTTCATGAACCAAATCTGAGTGTCTCAGGACTTTATTGCTTCCCTACTCAATTTCCATTTTAAGGATGCATCTTTCCTTATAGCACAGTGTCATAATTCCACTCACTCTGAGTTAGGTTGTGGTGGAAAGCCGCTGAGGTAGATCCCGAGGTGGTTGTCGCTCCAGCTGTGTCCGTCCCAAAGCCAAGTAGCTCCAAGGGAAACTGGAAGGGCACAGTCACAGGAACAAGGCCACCCAGCATCCCAAAAGGAGTTAATGGTGTAGACGTCACGTTCTGACTGGTTACAGACAGGGGTGATGCCATGAGAGTCAGAGGTGAGGCGTTAGCCAGTAACGATGCTCCTGCTGTTGACTATGCAATAAAAAAAAGAAAAAAAGGAGTGGTACTTCAAGATTTTTAAATATTTTAATTGTATTCTTCAAGGGTATAAAAATCAACTATTCCCTGTTAAGTGTTGCTCTGTTGAGAAGTATATTAAACTATTAATGAATATCCACTTATCCACCTAGGAAGCCTTCCCAGTGTTCATTTGCTAAGCAAGCACAGTTATACTGCAGATTCAGACATAAGAGTATGGTTCATCTATCATATTTTTCTCATTAGCCTTACAGGTAATTTCCTTGATCTCCTTTCTAATTATGCACTGGTCTACAGCCACAATGTAATGCAATATCCTCTATTAGATTAATAACATGAAATTATCCAATGTAGAGCTGAAGTTCTTTAGAAGTACAGTATTACACCTCCCCCCTTTCCAAATCTGGGTCTTAATATTATTTCTAAAGAGGTTGCAGAGAAACAATGAATTCTGAAAATTAAGATTCCTATGTAAGGATCCCCAAACTTAAGATGTCAGGTTAGCAAAATGCATGCATACACACATACATACGTATGTAGAGGTGTGCTTGTTAATGTCAGAGGAAAAGGAAAAAAGCAAAGGAAAATAATCTCTTCACTCTAAGTGTCAAAATGAAGTTAAATTCACTGCAGTTTTAAAATTAAAATGCAAGATTAGTCAGAACATTTTAGCTACAACAGCTCCCAAATCGCATTAACTCCTCTAACATTATATGAGCTCATTATTAACACTTTCTTTCACTACATATACAGTAATTTCATATGCTAATGTTAAGTTCTCTAATTATCTACTACAAAACAGTTAGTACAGAAAGCACTTTGAACCAGACTCAACTCAGATATTGCAGTTATTTGAATTAAAAAGACTCAGACGGAATAGGATTTCAAATCTGTGCATTTTTACAAGCCTCAACTAAACCCAAAACTTAAAATTATTTTAATAAACACATGAGCTTAAAATGAAAACGACATTTCACTGAATTCTGTAGTAACAACTTACAGGAAAAGCAAAGTGATGAAATCTCCTAGCATGGATAAAGTTTTTATTACCAGTTTTGGTCTTAAGATGTTCCGATGAAAGCAGCTAAAGAAAGGACAGTTGCTTATGAGAAAACATAGTATTTTCAAACAGTGGCCCTGTAAAGGGTAATTACCTACACATGATCTTCCTAGTAAGTGTTTATATTAACACTTAATATAAACATTATCTTAATGTCATGTTAAAGGTACCAACTTCTACAACATACTCTACCCCACAAGTAAAAAAAATAAAAAAATAATGAAAAGTATCAACATAGTATCATTCTCTTTTGCCTTTAAAAGTACTAATTTCATAATAAGCTTATGTACAAAAAAATGACTGTTCATTGCTTATGTAATCTAGTAAAGGACAAAAAAGTAAAAGCCATACAGTAATGTTTTACAACTGTGAATTTGTAAAATGCCTGAAAACAGAAACTTTGTAAAGTGCTCTGCCAAGATCTTGCTTGCTTACTCAAAAAGGAGGAGAGAGTACAGTGAAGAAAAGAGCTACAGAGCATGCCCTAAAGGAACTGCAGTTCAGATGTTTCTATTTCACTCTTGTACAAGAGTTCTTAAAAGAACTGATCATGCAGATCTGAGTCATTCAGATCTTTAGAAGTCTAAGCCAGATTCTGCTCAAGTACTAAGGGTAGGTAGATCTTTTTAAGGGAATTACACATGTACTCTGGCTTTGTGTCCTTAAGATGTAACTTTCTGTGAGGCCTCAGCAAGTATAAACTTGTATTCTGGTAAATAATTGTGTCAATCAGAAGTGGAAAGGAGGGAAACAATTCTTGGAAGCTTCCTAGTTAAGAACACCTTTATTATCATATTAAATCATCTTGTTTCATCTTTAATGTAAGTAGACCAGAATATTAAAATGAGCAATGCGGGTACCATTCTCATCTTCTAATAACATCTCAAATAGGAATTAAATCCCTAAGGGTTTAAAGGAAAGGAGATTCAGTCTTATGTGAAGTTTTAAGAGGAATAACTAAGTTCTTAGTACATTGTACCTAACAACTAGTCTGGAACTGATGTTGGTTCAGCAGCCTTTAGACCTTTATAGCTAAATAAAAACCTCTGTGATCACAAATCTCTTCCCCTTTAGAGTACTTGAACTGGGAGGTAATTAAATTCTAATCTTTCTCTGAATGTACTCCACTGACTAAGCTTCACAGTGCACAGCAGCAACAGCCTTATTCCATAGTTTATCTTCTTTGATTTCTTTCATAGTGTTCTTCTGAACCGTTTTTAGGTTATCAAAGTAATTTCTGAAGTGTCAAAAAAACCCATATGGAAGGTCTCAATAATTATTTTAGTGATATCATATGCCACTCAGTACTTCTAGATGATTTACCCCTTTCTATATATCAACACACCTTATTTTGCTGTATTATAGTATGGACTCATGTTGCTTGATTATTCACCACACACCCCACACTTGAGTGCTCTTCAGTAGAACTGTGGCCAAAATGTATTTCATTACTCAGGTGATCAGTGTTTCTAACAAAAAAATTACATGCCTTCAACTACAGGTACAGAATTCATCTCATCATCCAACACAACACTGCTTATTTCCCTTCATCTTTAAACACTACCACACCCATTTCACATTTTGTTCTACATCATAGCCATTGCATCCACTGGATTCTGCTGACTGCACCAGGAAGAAACAACTCTCTTCCCAGTCCATTCATTGTAGCCCCTTTTGTCTCCTCCAGGCACCTTCCAGAGTACTCAAACTGCACTGTACTTGGTTCAGCTCTTCTCCAGATGTTATGTGGCATGGCTATAATGTGGCACCTCAGTGGCCTGTACACAGCATACAGGTTGTGGATTTTTTCTCCATTCAAAGCACCCAGAATAAGTGAATGCTGTGTCAGAGCCTGCCAGACTTTTATTACTGACTGTTTTAGTACAGTAGGATGAAAGACCATAGAAGTGTTTTGTAAAAATCATCTTCCTCCTGTTATTCAGCTGCATTAGGAAGAATTTGATGGCAAACTAAGAGATTATAAAATATTGCCAGAATTTGAGTATACATCACTCCCATGCAACAGCAATGTACGCTGTTCAGAGTAATACGAAGTTTTTCATTTGCTGTACACCAAATGTAATTTACAGCAATACTGCTTTTCTTAAGTATTGATGACTTCAGCATAGAGAACACTAGAGATAGGAAAGCACCAAATCATCTCAGTAATTAAGCATTCCCAGTAAGAAGAACACAAGCTGGGAAAGCAAGTTGTCTTCTGGGTAAATAATAGGTTTATATGTTTTAGAACAACAGTATTTTCAAAATATTTGTCTTGTTTGATTTGTCTTATCTCTAGTGTTAGTATAAGCTTTTATTTTCTAGGGTATTTATATATTAATGGGGTGTCTCATTCAGTTTGACTAGATCCTACAGAACAAAATACATAGTCACAAATACAAAAGCAAAGCCCTTGCAAGTGTTAATTACAATTACAAGTCTTGAATTACAGTCAACCACATGCAACTGAACTCTAGTTTTGCAGTTAATCACGAAGCCTGACAACAAACATATGAAGACACCTTTTACATGACCACCATCATTACAAATATGTCAATATGAGAGAATTCACAAATCAAATAATGCAAGTAAATACGACATCCACTGAGAATATGGTCACACAAAGCTTACCTTTTCTAGTGCTGTTAAAAGAAAAAAAGTGAATTCTTTTCCACAGTATAGACCAACAAACAGTTTACAGTGAGGATTTGTTCCACACTGATCCTGGCATTCCACATCAGCTGGAAATACACATTCTTTAGTGTGAAATAGTTTCATCAGTATCAGCATTATGCTTAAAATGGTAAAAAATTAAATTTATGACATTTACAGATCAAGATAAAATATAGCAAGAATGTTTACAAAATAAGTGTGATAAACATTTATGTAAGGCTCAAATGTAAACTCGTTAGATGCGTACCTGCACACTGGCTGCTACAACTGGAGACCCTGAGGCAGAAGATGGTCTGTGTGGAGTTGACAACTGTTTAGTAGCACCCTGTGTTCCACTTCCTGCTCCCCCAGACAGACTAGTCCTACTAGCTCCACTTGAGTTAAGGTTACTGCCTCTGCTGGCAGGTACATTCATTCCAACTCCACCCAGATTATTTTTACCAACAGTTCCAGAAGGAGAAGAGTTGGGCAATTTTGAAGAAGCCTGAGGGTTTTTTGCAGGCTGAAGGCCTGAGGTGCGATTAGAAGACAGCAAATTCACTGTGGGAGACTGCCTGCTGATATTTACACCACTGGTCTGTTTATGAAGGGGGTTGTTGCTGGAGTGACTACTCTGGGAAACTAGTGCACTTGAACTGGAAGAACTGGGTGTTGTTGCAGGCCTGGGGGATGAGGTGGACTTAGATGAAAATTTAGGTGATGCATTTGGCTTGGGTGTCACAGAGGGCTTAGATGAAGTGGGCTTGGGAGAGGCAGCAGGTTTGGGAGAGGCAGCCATGGAGAAGGGAGGCTTGAAACCCTGGGAAGAAACTTGTGACACCATAGCCTTGGCTAAATAGTTACTAGAGGTAGAGGTGCTGGATGTTGTCCGAGAAACCAGTGGGTGAGACACTTGAGAGCCACTTCCGGATGAGGGATTAGACAAAGGCAGGCGATACACTACAGACTTATCTTGAGCCTTGATGACTGGTGATGAGCAAGAGAGTTTAGGATTACTACTCAATTTCACCACAGGATTGGTCTGTGATTTACTAATAGTTGCTTGTAAGGGAGATACATATTTCTGTTGTACAGCTGAATGCTGGTGCACCTTTGTCACTTGTGATGTTGAAGAAGTACCACCTTGAGCCTCAGCAGACGATACCAAGATATTAGCATCCTTGGTTCTTTGAGAGGAGGTGGAAATAGCTGCTTGAGTCTTAGAGGAAGAAACATGAGTCTGAGAAGAGGAGGAAGCAGCTTGTATCTGACTTGACCTCTGTAGTCCTTGTTGAAGTAGTTTGGCTGGCAAAGGCTCTAAGGAAACCTTGGGATTTTGAATTGAAGATCCAGCAATAAGGCCTGAAGAGATACCAGTGTGAACTAAGTCCTGGGGTTTCTTTGGTACTGGCCCTGTGTGACCAGCAATAAGACTTGATGAATGGGATGTTTGAGTGGGCTCTACTTTCTTTGAAGTTGCCAGAGGCAACTTACTCATAATGCTTGCTAGTTTCTCTTCCCTCAGCCCAGGGCGAGGTCTGGATGTTGGTGTGTCTATGGTGGACCCAAGAGGTGATCCCTTGGCACCATTATTGATAACTGCCAGAGCATCAGAAACAGAATCCAGTGAGGGTGGGCGGAAAGAGAGGTCCTCATCCAGTGAGTCATCCAAGCAGATAGTCTCTGGAGCTGCTGTGCAACTAGAGCTGGCTGGGGTGCACACAGCTGCACTGGAACTCAGTACAGTAGCACAACTTGAATTGACTGAAGACATACAAGTTTTCTGTTCTTTTTTTGGACTGGAGTCCTGAAATTGAAGGGATAGGAAACATCAGGTTTAGCAGTCTTTCTGAAATTGATTTAAGGTCATGTTAGTGTAATATTTTTATTCAGTAAATTCAGACAAAACAAAGATCTACTATTGAAATTCTCATATTAAGATATTTGTGATATCTAGGTGCTGGAGCCCTACGTGCTAATTCAGTATTTGGATTTAAAAATCTAGCACTGTTGCTCCACTTAACCAGAAGTGGTTAACTTAACCATATGGTGAAGAACAATCAATACTGTGCAGAATAGGGTACCTAATCTGATCACTTAGTAAAACTGCCACTGAATTAAGACAACACCTGATCACATCAAATGAGGACCTCTATACTACGGTGTCCTTCCAACCACACTGTTTTCCGGTGTTGCCAAATTTAACACAAACTGGAAACACACAAAGTACACATTTAAACATGACTGGAACTAGTACCTCTTCATAGTCAATTTTCAATAGACTAATACAGCAGTATTTTGTACTACATTCTTTGAAATAATGCACCACCAAGCCAGTAAGCATTGCCGGACAGAACCCTTCTGCAAGAATTTTTCATGATCAGAGGCAGAACCAGGTTGTACCAAATGGTCACATTGGACCATTAAGTGTGTATTCAGATATCTTAATTTGCTTTTACCTTCACTTTGGGTTTAGGGGCCAGAATCACCTTCTTCTTTGCCCTAAAACAGAAGGGATAAATGTGAATCAGAAGACCAAAAAAACCACAAAGAATTTTCATTTTAAGTGTTACCCTAATTATATTCCAATAAATTAGAATGATGACTACAGGGGTCCAGCTTTAATAATAAAACATCCTTGAAATGAAAAGTTGTTTGAAATATAGAGGCAAAGAAAAATAGCACACTATCAATTAATTTTCTGGCCATCTATCTCTATGCAAATTAATTTCAAAATCAACTGAATTTATGATATAACCTGACACATAGATCAGGATATATCTAGAGATCTGGTTTTATTTTTCTGATTTAGAGGAACTTCAAAATATCAATTAATTTCAACCTCTTAATATTATGAGTTTGTCTACTTAGTAAAGCTTTGTCTACACTGAAGTCTTCTAGAATAATAATATAATTTCACTTTTTACATAGGTATTTTTGTCCCTGAGGAGGATGCTTCCTATTCTCATTTATTTCAAGCCAGATAAAAACAGCTGTTTGTTCCCCCCATGAAAGTGGTTTGTTGCTCATCAACTGTTAGAACAGTTTGTTCTAATTTGTTTGTTGCAAGAAGTAATTTAGGAAACTGACAGATTTTCTTCTGCAATGTACACAAACTGCAGTTATGCAAGTAAGGACAGCATTAAGGATTATTAGTTATCGGCTTCAACTTAAGAGGTTCAGCATTTCACACTTCATTTCTTCAAGAGCAATCAATAGATTTACATCGTATAGGCAATTTTTGATCCTTTCCTAAGCAACTAGAAATGCACCTGGTTAAAAAAAGACTTTACTGTAGGTGGACCATGACTCAGTTTTGATGTGATGCAGAAAAATATCCTATGTTAATCATATTTATCACAAAAGTTGGAATTTATGTTACTTAAAGTCATAACAATTTGAATTCTGACTGAATGTGGACAGCTCCTGAGAGGCACACAGTGTTGTCTGAAAATGAAGATAAAATCCCACTAAGATACACAGCCTTCTGGGATTAGAGACTTTTTTGAGGAAAAGAAAACCAGGAAGTACTGCAGTCTGAGTTCAGTTTAATATGTCAAAATTTAGGCAGTGCGTAATGCTTTGAGTAAAAGGTATTAATTCAAGAATTAATAACCCCTGGACTTATCTAGCCACTTCACAAAATATAATGCCACAAGAACATTACAGTTATATGCCTCAACTAAAGCATTAAAAAAGATTATAAACATCACTGTATCTTCAAATAAATTCCAAAGTACCTCCCTTTCCTTCCCTCTGTCTAAAAGAGGTACAAGGAAGATGAGAAAAGATGCTATGCACAACCTAAAGATCTTAGCAAGTTGTCACTATTATACTCACGGAGCAGAAGTGAGGTGATTGTGAACACTTCGGCTTTCTTTAAAAAGCATCCTAAAAGAGTGGTGAGAAAAGAAACATTAAGTGATTCTACCGTGATAAACAGCACGTGACCACCAAATACGCAAATATCGTTTGGGTTTTCGTACAGCCTTTGATTATCTGCCCCCAAGGGAGCTAATAATTACTTTGTATTGCTGTCATGGTATAGGTCTTGACATCCGTAAATAGAAGAATCTAAAAAAAATGTAATAATCTGCATTTATGCTCAAAATACCTCAGTAAACAGCCAAGCAAAAATCAACATAAAATATTACTTCCTTCAATTGGACAGAAGAAATACACTTTGAATGCTCTCTCCTCAAAGACTAATGAAATATTTCAAATATAAAATAAAAGATTATTGTGTATACATGTCCAGCATACTGATCATAGGCTTGGGTTTGTGGTTATTAATCTCTTGTGGGGTTTTTTAAAGCACAGAAGATAGAAGTCAGAACACAGTAGCCAAGCTTGTTTCTAGTTTTCTTCAGTAATTTTAGTACTGAAAAAACTTAAGTGAAAGTTTGAAAGTTTAGGAAAAGAAAAACTTTAGGCTCTTGTGTATCATTTCTTTGACTTCTGTTACACTGGACTTACACATATTACTACAGAACCAAGGAATGGCAAGAGCCAGTATGACAAATCTCAACACTTCACATGCTTTTATTCAATGTTTTCAGCTCCTGAGTTGCCAAGAGGAAAGTGAAAATGATTGCTGACCTGTATCTGTCCTACAGCTTACTATTCAAATGCAGCTACAAACAGACAATGGACACTTGGTCCCTTTCCTTGTTTCCAGATAGGCAAACTAGGACAATTTTCTTACAGCACTGCCATCACGTTGACACTGACCGCATCGTGAACAGCTGTCTAAACAAGAGCTTTTCACTACTCATAATACAACCTGCAGAGCTACAATAATTACAAAAAATCTGAGTATCCAAGAATTTCATGTCATCTGGTAAGAAAACACTGACATCCTCTCATTACAGTTCAGGGCCTTACTTCTCAGTTCCTATTTCCAGCTACATTTTCACATTTTCTTCACCATACTAACCTCCAAATCTGTATTGCATTGTTCCATCAGAGACTACTGAAAGCCTATGAAAAAACATCATGGAGCAAAACCAGCATTCCTCATTATATGTTTAATGGGCCACCACCCAACCTATTCAGCTTCTCCAGAATATTTCCCTCTCCAACTCCTTCTTGGTGCTTTATCCTCTCCTTAATCTTTTCAATTTGGAGATGAAAATTCAAAATTAATCACAGGCCCAAGTAGTTTGTAGCATCATCCTTCAAGGTTGAAGACAAAATTTTAAGGCTATCAAAGGACAGAAATCATAGACATGGTACAAAGAAATGACAGAGCAGTATATGAGGTCACTTCCAACCTTGACAATCATCTGATTCTGTAATTTCCAGTTATGATCAATACCTTACACCTCTTGCTTCTTTTATGGAGCTATGAGAAACATTAAATACAGTTAACTTTGGAAGTGCAAGATATTTTTCTTCTAAAATGAACACACAAAGTTCTGGTACCGTATACCAATTCTGATTAGTAAGAATTCCTTAAAAAAACCATGGTCAGTAGATCAGTTTTAGCATTAAATACCTATTTTTTTTTTTTCAAGTTCATATAACTCCTTTTCACTTGAGGCCACATATAAAAATGAAAAATTATAAGCCTTCAGCATAATCCCTAACCCAGCATCCAACAAAATGAGCATTCAGAATAAGAATTATGTGCTGTATTAGGAATTACCACTGCCAGACTCCAGGAAATAAAAAGAAAAAAAAAAAGAAATACTTTATTTTCCTCTTTCCATGCATAACTGTTTGCCTACAAATTACAATACATCACTTCCTAAACAGAAAGCAGGAAAGTGCCCACCAGTAGATACATGACAATTTGTAAATTATCATGGTACTAAAACCATCCAGTTAGTAAATGAAGTCTTGCTGTTCAACAGGAAGCTATTATCTGTTACCTGTTTGGGTTTGTTTGGTCTGTTGGTCGTTTTCATTTACTTTGGGGGGCATTTTGGTTTATTGTTTAGTTTTCATCTTTTGTCGTTGAAGCCAATTATATGGATAGTTTAAAAGCTCATAGAAACTTCCAGCAGACTTAAATGGAAAGGAGAGAACCATATGTTTTATGGCTTCTCAATACAAAGTTTTAATATGCTTCATCTCTATGTAATCTTGAATCCCCTCACAATCTCTTGACTGTTTCTCCACTATCATCAGTGATCTTCCTATCTTCCATTCTTAAACAAAACTGGGAAACTCTGTCTCATCCAATTCAATAAAATCTTCATAACAGACAATTCAGTCATTAATCTCACTCATTAGTGTACTTCCACAAAAAACTAAATCACTGAACAAAAATAAGTCAGCTGTATGCCAGGAAGTGTGAAACTTCATTCATTCCTTATGTTACTATTTAACCAGCTATTTCTACACTGACTGTTCTAAGAAATATCTCAGTAAAGTTATTTTTACAGCTTGATACAGATTTGACTAAACTAAACTCAAGGTATTCTTGAACAAGTTGATTAGTTGTATCATTTAGCTTTTACAATCAGGTTGAGGTTTGATTAAATTATCTTTTGCAGTGAGTACTACAGAAAGAAAGAACTCAGGCCAAACCATACTTGCTTCTCTTTCACTCCAAACCCTTAGAAATCTCTGCCAAACCTGTATTTCACAATGGTTTACTACTGCTCCCATTTTATTTCTCCCTCTTTTTTTTGTCTGGTTGTTTCTTCCTATGTCCATAAGAAGCAAGTATAGAAACTGGTACATTTTTAAATGCGGTAAAACAGAGGATCCCAACTGCAAACAAGAAATAGAGAGCAGAATCCTTAAGTCTGTTGTCAACACTGCTATCAAAATTCTGTGTGAGCAGTCTGATAAAGCAATGTTCTAACATACAGGCAAAACTGATTTCTAGATCAGTATCACTTCCTATAAAAGGAACTTTTCCATACAGAACTTTCCAAGCTGTTACCCTCCCACCTCATACTTCTCAAATGAAACATTCAGTCTCTAGGAGATGATAAAAGCAAGCAACTCTCCAAGGAAAACAGTAGGGTTTCACACACTCAGGCTTACAAACAAGACAGAAAATTAATTTTAGAGAAACATTTGTTCTTCCAAAATATTCCAGCTTCACAAACATACTCTTAAGTTCCAGCCAATATCAACAGTACATGGCTGAGTCAAATGTAAGACAATAAATATGAAACAAATAACACCAAAGTGAATAATACATAAAGCAGGTATCTTACCTTGCCTGCATCCAGCCTTTAGGCCAAAGTGGTTTCACTTCTGTTTCCATGAAGGTTTTGAGGTAATCTTCAGCAGACTGACTTCTATTTGGCTCTAGCTCGTAACATCCCAGCTTGATCTTAACAAGATTACATAACAGAGACCTGCAAAATGAAACAAAATAAATATATTGAAAGACACAATCCTTTCAAAAGCTCAATATAAAAAGGATAAGAAATTGAAGGTGCTGTCTACTGATAGCTGGAAGAAGTTCTTGGTTCCAGCTGTGTTTTTTGGAAGTTTGTACTGCTCAAAGTATTGCTACTACAAACCGGTATGGTCTACCATTGTCACTTCTCCATTTCCAAAAGACTCTATTGCTCTTGTTTTCATCCTACCATCATTTTGCAATTTTTTTTTACATTTTCTTTATGTTTTTCTCATAGTTGGAACATTTCCTCTCACTGCTCACAGTGACCTCTCATTTGCCTGAAAGGAAGTGAAATCCGTTCTACACTGAGTACTTCAACAGAGGGCTCTTTCTTACGGGGATTTTGTCTTTTGTTCTTAAAAATATAAAAGTGCACACAGTTAAGTAACATCAGCCTTCCAGAGCTTCTTTAATGAAAAAAGCAACAGATTTAAACATCTCTCCCCTCCAGGCCAGTCCAAGCTATAGTGCTTGTACATATTTCATGAAGCTTTCTTCCCTGTTGTCTTCACATACACTAAAAAGACTCACTGAGAGAAGTCCACCAGCCCCTTTAAAAGATATAGATTAGATAGATAAAAATAGTAGTCATCTCAGTTTTCAGAAAAATCTGTTCTAGGAAACCAAACTCTAGTTTCAGGTAAGAATCTGTGCTGCTCTTGAGAGACATCAAAGAATTTGTGTTCAGAGGGAAGAGAAGGGGTTAAAATTAATGCATTTTTCTAGCTGCTGGACTGGGAGGCTTGCCAAATCAATACCACCAATCCTGATGGCCTGTCCTCCTGTGGCAGAAATCTCTAGTGCCCATTGGTTTTTGTAACATATTCCTAGAAAGGTGGGAAGCAGTTTTAACACTGCTTACACACCGGTTCTTTGCCTAAAAAAGCTCAAAGTCCTGGAGTCAGAAAATACTTGTGTATTTGGATGAATCAGAAAAACATGCAGTGAAACTTCAAAGGATTTGACACAGGATTTTCCTTTCAAGTTAAATAAGGTGTTTCACCATTACAGAATTCCAGTTTGCCTATTTAACACCAACACTCTTCAAAACTTCTCCAAGGTGTAATTCCGGGCAAAATTATTTATTCAATAGTATCATGTAATAACATTCTCTTGGAGATCCCTTTATAACTTCAGTCAAAATTCTTCATGGAAAAGGTAGCTTTGTCTTACCTCACTGTGTCATCCCAGTGAAACTTCTTTCTGGGTCCAACAACCCTCTTTCCCGGTTTCTCATCATCATCTTCCTCTGATCCATTTTTCTCTCGTTCATCTTCCGCTTGCAACCTACAGTTGGAACAATTATTTTCTTTAGAGCTATACTACACAGACAAAATATTTCATTGAAAAAGGAGTGTCATTCTAGGTGTTAGGGGGAAAAATAAACCACAGAAGACCTGTTTTCAGATTTTTGCTATACTTCCTTACAGGATTAACAGTTTAATCTCCCTCTCCCCACTACTATGTGGTTCTCAGACAAGTGAAAATGACACACTGTACAGATGCTTTCACTGATGCCCCTATGAACTTCAAGCAGTGCCTCTAATGGAAAGTGGCAGGATACTTAACGAGCTATTAATACCCTTAGAAGTCTAAAATTAGTTAATTATGATTGAAACAATCACAATGAACAAGGACAAAATATATAAATAACCTCAACATACCGTCCTCCTCCATTAATTCCTCATTTTAGGAATCAACCAGTAATCCTTCAGATGTTTTTTTTCTGTCAAAACCTATCTCAGATAACAATTTGTCTCTGGTGTCAGACAGTAACACACAAAATAAAGTATTTTGTACAATTCAAAAAAGACACCCTTAAACTGGAGCAGAGCAATTTTCTGAGCTAAGGAAGTAAACAACATGGATACAAACTTCCAGCTGGGTTCTAAATAGGCATGCACAGTCTCCAGAATAACCTACTTGGCATTCTTGGCTTGATTGCGGGCCTGACAGTCCTCTTGATACTTGCATAACTGTTCAGGCATGACGTTACTGACAGCCAGTTTCAGCTTCTGCAATGGTTCTCTCAAGCGGTCGTCCTGTGAAAAGAGGAGCACCAAAATAAACCTATTAGATGTAAAATAAAGATCATTTCAGATAGTTCCATGAAAATTTCTGGATCACTCCCAAGGTAACATTCCCAATACTATTTATGGACTGCAACAGATATATTCCACATGGCACTTGAATCCTGTTAGGTGCAACACCATTATATAAATGCACATATGTCTCACCTAAGTCTTGAGACTAGAAACAACAAAAGATAGTCACAAGTAAATGTGTCGTGAATATCCCAGAACATTACAGCATAATCTCTTTAAATAATGTTTTTAAACTAAAATAGGGAAGGGGAAAAAACTTAAGGAGGAAAAAGTGAGATAAATTGACCAATCGATATCTCAACATTTGCAAATAAGTATCCTATTAATCAGATCTCCAAAAACTGTGGTATAAAAACATCCCAGGTAATAAACAAAATATGAATATGTATTATATTATCCAAATATTAAATTGTTATTAAATGCAGTTTATGTACCTGAAGGGTAAGGACTATGTATTTAGAATTGTCTCCAAATATTAAGAACTTCAAACATTAAGGTAATATACCATACACTTCACTACATGTTTTAAATTCTTTCTACATCTACATCTACTTTCTACATCTTCTGACTTCACATTATTAGTTTTAATTGCTTATTGAAAAGAACTAGCATATTTTATGTTTATCTGCTTAGAAATATAATTTAAATCTGTTTGCCTTATTATCAAGTACCAAGATCTCTGCACTCATCTTCAGATCCTCTCTAAGATTTAGTCCTGGATTTTATCTAAAGAATTTGGTACTTCAGATCACAGATAACTTTTCTATTCAACTGATAAAAAAAAATCTTTAAAAGAAAACTAACTGAAAATGACATACAAATAATTTTGTAAGACCTAGTAACAAAAGGAAATTTTGAACAAATAATACAGGCTGGGTCATCTATTATCCATCTAGCTTTCCTTTTTTCTTGACACAAAAGTGAATACAAAAGTATGTTTTTTTAGCCTATCATAACCATTATTTCTAACACTGCTGCTTTGATAGCTACCCTCTGACTACAGTAATACTCAGTATTCAGCAGAAACATTCCTTCATAGCCTGTATCCAGCTTTCAAGATGAACACACTTTATTCTTGAATAAAGACTCTGAAATACTTAAAGTATTTGTTCCTAATGCAGTTACAATATCAGGCACATGCAAAGAACCTTTTAAACTTATCTAGCAACTGACACAAAATATTTTGCTTGATTTGAGGCTGTATGGCTACTGCTCCGCTCTGCTGCATTCAGTCCTCCTTGCTGTCACATAATTGACTCCTGCTGGAGCTCCTCTCCCCCATCATTGATTACCTGGACATTGAGGTGTAACTTCTTCAGGCGCTTTATCAGTGTGTCCTTATTGCACGGCACGAAAGCCTCCAGGTGTGAGTACACTCCATTGCGGATGGCAGGATTCACCTCCTGTAACTGTAGCTCAATGCTGACAAACAAACAGGAGATGTTCAGTCAGAGACACACTCCAAGGTAAAGATGACATCTGAACAAAAACCTAAGGAAACTTTGGAAGCATAGCACATTCTAGCTAGGCAGACTAAAAACAGTTGCTTGGGACTTTTTCAGATAAGCTTTTTTATAAAACAAAGAAGTCCTAATCAATGGCAAGAAACCATTCATGTATGCACTTGTCCAGCAATGTTGAACACTCATTCAAATTTAGTTTACACATATCACTGCAAATCAAAAGTGATATGATTTGACTATTATAGTCTTCTAGAGATTACATTTGTTTCTTAGCATATGAACACATATTAAACCCTTAATTGAAGATTACAGAGAAAATAGTCTGGCATTTGCCCTCATGAAAACTGAAGGTGTTTTGAGTTACAAAAGTGGGAGACAGGAGCAAATAACAGCAATTTTGTTGAATTTTACACATGAAGTCAAGGACCAGGGCACTACAAAACATTTTACACTGGATAAAGACAGACAGGAATGACAGGAATTGTATGCATAAATAAATCTCTTTAGCTAATAACTAGCTTAGACTGATCTACCTTCATTGACTTTTAAGGGCTTTGTTGGAACAACCTCAATAATACTTCCTCTTCTGTACTTTTCCTTTCACCCCCTTTCCAAAAAGGGAAGGTTCTACAGATAAGCACTTACTCCAGAAGAATATTATTCATGTCTTGTGTGAAAAACTTCTTCCTGCCTTCTTCATCAAACATCTTGGCAGCCTGGAAATACAATAAAATAAAAAAAAAAGCATCCAAGTTCATAAAGTATTTTGAACCAACAATTTTTGTATCTTCACTTTTACAGCCCTATCATATTCTTCTTTCCCAGATAACATTAATTGGAAAAGAATAAAGAAAATCGAGCTATTCTCAGCTGTTTAGAAAAAACTGAGGACTGTTATTGTTATACTCAAATATATACACTAGGGCAGACAATCATTCTGTTTAGGATCTGCCTGGATCACTGATGTTAACATCTTTTGAATTACCATTAAGAAAATGGTAGATGCTTTATCACCTCACCACCACTAACATCCTACTATGACTGTTTTAAAAAGAGAAGCATTGTTTGGCAGGTCAAGAAGGCAAGAGCATTAACTAACACATTTCTATTCCATCTTTTTCTACCTGTTATGTGCCTCATCCAGTTACATCTTCCCAGCTTTCTCAGAGCCCTCTCAAACCTTCACTGCAATTTCTACAAGGGGTTATGTATGCTAGAGGAATACCTCATCCCCCTTTCCTGCTGCTGTCCAGAATTCTTGCCATGTTTAGAATGCATCTCTAGTATTTTTATTTGGTCTCTTCTTGAGTCTGGTTGTGGGGGAAGGGAAGATAGCCTTATTTATATACATATTTCCTTTTATCAGAAGTTTTTACTGATCTCAAAGGAATTCCCATGCAGAATCCCTTTATCTTTGTTCTTATCACCTAGATCCTCTTCTTTTTTTCACAAGGAATGACAGCTTAGAAGACAAAGCCAATTCCCTATGTCATTCTACAAAAATCAGTAAGAATCTCTCGAGTGTACATCTACCCTGCAGAATTTTAGAAACTGAGAAAAATGAGCCCCACTTTGAGAGGCCTACTGTCACCTTACATATTGGCATGGAACCAGACAGCAATATCTAGAGGAGCTAGAAAATTATATGCATGCAGAAAAGTAGGTGTGTGGTATCATTATAGTGACTGACAAACGTTAGAGGCAGCCAACACGCTATGAGGCTGAATAGTCAAATAATTAAGAAGCATTAATTATGTCTGTAGAACCACAGAATGGTGACTTGCAACAACATAGCTAAAAACTACAAGTAAGTGCAAGTGTTAACATGAATAAATTAATTTATTATTATTAAATACTTACTGTTCTTGCTTTTTGTAACTGACCCATTTAAATTTGAAAGAAAAATATTTTCTACAACTTGTGAACTCTACACTGCACAGGAAAACAGTGTGACACTCTGTCAAAGCTGTAAGGTAGCCCATTGTCTGAATGCTTTATGACTTCAGTCATGAACACTTATACTGCAGTTTAAGTTCCTGCAAGGAGTGCATTCCACTCATTGTTTTCTACCATAAATTCAGCTCCTGAGGGGATGGTACTATCTGTTTAAGAATACTGAAGCATTTGCCCCGCTAAAAAAATTAGAAAGGTTATAGATGCTTGCAAGTGACAGAGTACCAAAAAGACAAGTCAGAAAGTCTTAAATCCAATACCTTTATGCCTAATTAACACAGGGATTAGAATCATCATCTGGTTTACAGAAAACAGAAGGAAAAAGCTTTGACATTTTGGTCCCAGGTAGACCTTGAAAGGCAATTCCAGCATTATACTATTATGTTGGACAGCATTGCTGGCTTTTAAAGAGAGCAACACTGGCACATTCAAAAACTTCATCACTATTACTAACTATGGTTGGGTTTTATTTCCAGAGTGATTATCTTGACAGTGACCTCCAAAATAGAAAAAAATCCTTTTATTTACTTTCCTGCTTGTTATAATACTGCCTTCTGTCATGGTAGTTCAGAATAACCCACTTGGGGAACTAGAACACATTAATCTACCAAAGTAAGTCAGGAAGCTTTTAGTGCCTTTAGTCAGTGGCTTTCTAGTCGTATTATTTTTTTAATCCTGATATATTATATTCCCGCCATAGAGCATAGACTTCTTACAGCTTTATAAACTTTCCTTTGTGCTAAAGAACTCTAAAGCTGTGAGAGTCTGGTAAATATTTGACAAGACTCATTTATTTTTAGTGCTTTTTAGAAGATGTCTGATTGTAATTTTCAGGAGGTGTGCAAATTGCAATCTTTAAGTAAACATACAGACTAGTTGCTCCCCAAGTATAAACTTAAACTTGTTCTGCTCAGCCAGAAATCTTTCAGAAGACGCTGTCAAAAATGGAAGACAGAAGAGCTCCCAGCTGGTCTAGTGGAAGGTATCCCTGCCCAGAGTAGGGGTATTGGAGTGGATGATCTTAAAAGGCCCTTCCAACCCAAACCATTTTATGATTCTATAAGGAGTTATGTTTTCCAAGAGCCACTCAATCAATGGTGCCTCCCAACTTGTTTGAGATTGTTATATAGAGAAGCAACATGATTTAACTTGGGGTAAGTCACTAAAACTTCCTGACTTTTGGCCGAATTAAATTCTGCACTTTTGCTAGAAGCTTCTTATTGATTCATAGAAAAAAACAACGTGCATAGTGAGAGGTAGACAGAGAAGCTCCTTCACTTTAGTAAATACTAATTCCTTGGCTATATTTAGCTTGGTATGTTTAAAACTAAATAAGAAAACTAGAAGACATTTCTATGCAGGTAAGAGCAAAGCAAGCTCTGCAATTGTTTAAATTATTTTCTCTTCTTCCAAAAAAGACAGTAACTTGAACTGTTTTTTCAAAACTTACTATGAGTAAAGAAAAGCTGCACTTTATTCTAAATAAGGAAAATCTTTAATATCATAATCTGAACAAGCAACAAATTTTTTCTCAATTTAGGATAACATCCACAACTGAATCAAGGAGTATGTAATACCTTAATAGCTTTGATCCCTTTCAGTAACTTACTGGAATATTCATAACTTGTTCATTTAACATCTTTCATTCCATTTTTGCAAAGTTCAGATTCCATTCTAACCTTACAGAAGAAAAAGTTCAGTTTTGTGGTTGGCTGGTTTGTTTTTTGTAGTTGGGCGGTGGTTTCTGGTTTTGGTGGCTTTTTGGTTGTGGGGTTTTTTTTCCCTCCACCACTGGCAAGTTAAAGCCAAAAAACCAATACATGAATTTGTAAGCTGCAGTCATATTTCAGGTTATCTCCTCCAAAGTAAGAAAACATTCATTCCATTTTATCAAATAATAATTCACGTTAAAGGAACACCAGTATTTCCATTATGGAGAAAAACCCATAAATAAATGAACATTACAAGATATTGTACACAGAAGATTTAGAAAACCCTGTTTCCAGTGTGCAACAAACACTGCTTGAATAATCGACCTGCATCATCTCTGCCTGTTTTCACCTGATTATGAACACGGCCATGTGTTTAACATGTGTAAGCATCAATTCTTCATTTCTAAAGTTTCAGTCAGCAATCCAAGGATGACACTCAAGGTCCTAATTGTTCTTCCTTGTTCTCTCATTCTTGAATGCAATCCCCTACCAGTGAATTCATACTTACTGTTCGAAGGTCTCCAATGCGCTTTTCAAGTAGCATAGGCAGACCTTCTGGGAGGGCAGGCACCTGCTTGGGTGTCATGACCTGAGAGGTGTAGGTTGCCTGAGTGACATTTCCATTTTCTCCTGACAGCTCAGAGACCGGGCTGCCATCAGAAGTGCCATCAAGCAACTTATCAAAGTCAATGTCTCCCAGCATCTCCAGGGCACTTTCAGTTTCTTGCAGGAGCTCAGGTTCATTTGTGCTACCAAAAATGGAGAGGACAGGATCATTGATCCTAAGATTCAAGTCAGAGATATCATTTCCTGCACTGAGAGAGGAGGAAGGAATTTTACTAGGGGTAGAGGTTGCAACAGTCACTGGAGGTTTTGGACTAGGTTCCTTCTTCCTCATGGCTTCCTTCTCCTTTTGAAATTTACGGATCATGGCAGCCAGAGAGAGTGAGTCTTTATACAGTTTCTTTTTCTTCTTCTCAGACTTGTGTGAATTTAAGGCCATTACTCTGTAGAGGAAAGAAATCTTTAAATAGCATATGACTTTTGAGGCCTCAGTAACCTTTAACAACAAAACTGAAAGTTTAGTACAATTAAAAAATTATCAGGGGGAAGAAGCAAGTTCTCCCTGCTTCCATCTTCAGACCATTTTACCAATTACTATAAACCTTAGGTACTCACACGATGACAGGTTCTCCCACTGATTTGTTACATTTTATACACATTAAGGCAAACATTACTGTATTTTAACTGCTCAATTTAATTATGGACTAGTTGGCACAAGTATTAAAACTCAGGGCAGATTTATGATACTTAAAAACTTGCCTCTCAAGACTGCTGAATGGTGGCAGGTTGACTGTACAGCATATACGTTAAAAAAATTCTTTTCATTGCTAAGAATTTTTAAATGGAGGCTCAAAATCTATATTCTACTTAAACTGAGAATTTTCCACCAATTTGTCACCATGATGAAAAATGAGGTCAATAAATTTTCAATATTCAGTGTGAATATTTACAATAAGACAGCTTCCATCCACTCAACAGAAGTTTTCTAGAAGCCAATTAAAAAACCCCACCACCTTAATACTTCTGTGCTAGCATCAGAATTCAGGAAAGCACGAAGTCAGTAAGAAGTACATAGAAGACTAATTAAACTGTATTTGCAGCTTTACAGAGGAGAAACAAAGAGACAGGAGGAAAATTATTTTTCATTAGAAGATGTAATTCCTAGAGCTAGCTTAGATGTTTGGGCAGGACAATGACGCTTTACGCAATTTATAAGACTCAAAAATTTACTTCTATGATTTCTTTCCTTATTATTCCTTGGTCAGAATTTCAGGGGCCAAAAAAAAAAATTAGCCCACAGGACTGAGTCATACAAAAACCCCAAAATTCTGAAACAAAATCTGTAAGCTATTAATTACAGTTGAAAAGTACAATATTCAAAAGTGCTGTAATCTTGCTATGGCACAAGATCGTGAAGCCAAACCTCAAATATAATTCAAGGGTTCCAATAAAGAAAAAGAAACCTACCCCAACTGCTTAGGAACTTTCATTTTCCGGGGCTTCTTCTCCTTTTCTGTCCCTTCATCTTTTCGCTTGCGTTTCTTCATTCCACGATCTTCACTTTCTTTTAACTTTGCTATCTAGAAAAGAGATCAAATAAAGGACAATGATTCTTCCACCCTAAAGGACTTTGACAGAAAGAAGCATTCAATTTTCTTTACCCTTTCCAATTCAGAGCCAGGAAAAACACTTCCATGTGTGTCAAGACAAACGGTAGGATGGATTCCTAGTAGCAGTTGCAGTTACTGACAAGTGTTAATCATTAATCATTTTCAAACAGTTATGAAATTTGGAGTTTTCAGTAAGATAAGTACTCTAAGGTACATACAAGACTGCTGCCCAGCCAGTATGGCCAACCGCTACCTTGGAAGATGCCATTTCCCCACCTTCCTCAGCTACCACAGTTTCACTGCTGACTATGAAGCTGCACAGTATGGAACATCTTTGCTGGTCAATACAGACCACATGCCTCCCCCTCCCTTGTCGATCCTTAGATTACCTGAGGGTGCTGAGCAGGGAAAAAGAAAGCCTTCAGACTGTGCAATCATTAGCCAGCAACAGGCAAAATTCTGGTGCAGTTATCAACACCGCTTTAGTCACAAATTAAAAGCACAGTATCATAGAAGCTGCTAGAAAAAGTTAACTGTATCCCAGTCAGAGCCAATACGAGAACCTTAAAATTTAAGTTATAGAGCAGGAAAGGACACCAGGAAGCACTAAGTTCTCAGAACCAGCATACAATTTGTAAATGTCATATTGCAATTATGTTTGTATTGGCTAACTTGTCAAAGTTTATAGAACATCATGCTGTTTGGAAAGATTCTATATATAATTTTAATATAGCTATTCTTATCAACTGAGTTAACTTTGTCAGGTGTTTTGGTTTAAGTACTATTCTCAATATTAGGAACAATTTCAAATCATGCAAACTTCGTGCAAAATCATTAAGAGCAGTGTTGATGAATTTAAAAATCTCATCTATAATAAAATTCTTACAAAATTACAGAATAATCTGTCAGTTCAAGATGGGTGGACACAACTTGTTAAGCTGTCTAAAGACATGCTTAGTCTTACAAGACCGGACAGCCTGTGGACATCCTGAGTTAGTTACTGAATGCTAGTACGTGAGCCACAAAACATAAAATGCAGTAAAACAGTACCATGCATCATTCTGCTTTTGTACTCTTCATTTGAGCCATTCTAAGCATATCAAATATTTCCAATGTCCACCTAGCTTCTACTTCTGTATAATCACTCACTTTAGGCGGCCTATGTTTTTTGTCTTCTGCAAAGTCTTCATCTTCTGATTCAGATGCCTGGCGAAATTGCAGTGTACCAGTGTTGATATAAAACCCTCCATATTTGGTTGTCAGGGATGCAGGAACCAATTCATCATACTGGGCAGGAAAAGTAAGATGAACTTATCAGTATTTCTTAATAAACTAAACATGTAGTTCATTTACCAGCCCTTATACATAAAAATATATATTCCAATTCACAGCACAGCTTGCTATAATAGAAACAGGATAGCAATGCTATAGAAAATTTACTGGCTGAAGCAGAGAACGTTAATATTACAGAGTATCCTTTCAACTATCAAAACAATGACTTTCCTGTACAAAAAGGCATGATTACAGCAATAAAAGTATTACTTTCTGAAGGTAACTCACCACAGTGCCCTGCTCAAAATCTTAGTTCTTTTAAAAAGTCCTCTGAAATTTTCTTCTGTTAAAAACGCTATCTCAGACATGACAAACTTAACCACAGTATGTTACCTGACTTCCAATTTTAGGTGCTTAATGCAACATTGCATGTTAAATATTACAATGCCAGGACTTTTTTCATTTGAAGGCTAACATTCTCCCTCTGTTCAAACAATTTTAAAATCACAAAATGTTTCAAGCTCTATCAATAATTTATTTTGAAAAGTACTTAGTATTTATGAAGAAATTTCCAAGTTTATAATTATAAAGTTTAATCTCAAAAATATTGAAATCCAAAGACATATAGAAAAGATGGTCAATAATCAGTATAGTGGATGACAATATTTATTCTATTATTACATGCAAATAACAACCTCCATGCCATGTAAAATATACTGAAGATAAAATTGTTTAACAACTGAAAAGTCTAGGCTACCAAACACTTTTAGGTAGGAGGAAGAGTTATCCAGAAAAGTAAAACCATAAATATGTATTTCAACAAGGAAGCTGGAAAAAGAGCCTGAACTGGAAGCCTACTGAGAGATTCAATCTGAATAAGTAGTTAGAAACTTCCCTGACTCATCACCTTTTATCTTTCTGGAACAGAAAGCTTAACATGCAGTACTGAAAGACAAAATAGGAAAGGAAAAGTGGTGACAGCATTTATCAAGTGTCCTAAGATGATATGAAAAGCTAGCACAAGAAAGTGCGAGAATCTATTAATTGAACAAAACAAAAGTGAAGTGACTTAATAGTGGACTTCATTCATCTTAAAAGACCAGGAGGACCATGCAAAGTAAACTTGAGAGTGGAGGTTGTATAAGAATTTCAAAGAAAACTCATGCCTTTTTCCACAGCTCTCAGAACCAGCTTCATTAGGTGCAAGGAAAATGAAAGTAGAGAAAATAAATTATCCACAGTGCTTAACAACAGAGCAGACATTTCCCATTTGAGCTGACAGGGTGTGAACTGAATTAGCAAGGCTGGGGCAGTAAAGGATCAAAACTGGAGAATACAGAGTAGTTGCCAAGTCAGAAGGAAAACGCACACAGTCAAAGCTGAGACCATTAGCACAAAAAGCAAAAGCCAACAGAGTAAAGAGATGCGGAGCAGTACAGGAAGGCCTAGGTAACACACAAGTGAGGATTAAAGGCAGTCCACAAATGAGGAATCATGAATCCCATGAATCACAGCAAATTATCTTGCTGTGTGGCACAGATCCACTGGAACAAGACAACAAGAAAGGCAGAATTAATTCAACATACAGAGTGACTGTATTCCATAATAGTCAACAGGCAAATAAGATCAGCAAGATGTGGATGTATAACTAAGCAGTTGAGGTTTCAACAGTTTCTGTTGAGGACTATGAACTTAGACTTTAAAAGACTTTTCTGACATTCAGTTCTTCTCAACCCTTGAATAAGACTACTTTACCAAAATCTGGTTCTATCCTGAGCCTACTGAACAAGGTATAACTTTTAACTCAATGTTGTGTTTTAGACATAGGGGCCTGCAGACTACAGTGTAGTTAGTACAACCCCCTTTGAGCTAAGGTTACTATTTTCTAGTGCCAGAACAGAAAATGAGTATGTTTGTATAAGGTATTAGCAACAGAGATTAAGCTTCATTTTGAAGTGCTTCCAGAACTCTCAGTTAAAGGGAACATGGCTCTGGCAAATTCTAAATCTTCTTATGAATTGTTTTCAAGACCTTTGCTTTAAACTAGCTTTTTTTTGTGCATGAAATCACACACTTTATCTTATGAACAAAAATAAGTTTAAAGCCCTTTACAGTGTTCTGCTCTTCCTTACACATTTCAAGGACAAGAATCAAAAAATCTCAGACCTACAAAGAGACAGGACTTGACTGACCCCTGTGAACACAGGTTTGTCCTACGACTGATTATGGAATCATTCTGCAGATAACAAAAGACTGTCTGACCATCTAAAAGCAGGTTCATATGTAAGTTATTTTAAACTATTGTCCTTGAGCTACATTACATTACTTGGCTTTTAGTGCCATAAATCTAATTAAATGTTTTGGTATGAAAGGTAATTCAGTTTTTTTAAAAAATAAGTTAACTGGTCTCAACTTCATCACTATACCAAGAACAATGAATTTTTATGGATTATACCAATTTAGTTTAGAAATCCAGATCTGTAACAGTATCTTATATTGTCTACTCTTGCGTCCAGGTACTTTGACTACAATCCTCAGACATTTTACTGTGATCCTTTTCCTCATTAACCTCCCTTTCATACAACAACCTACAAAAGTACATATGTGAAAAAGTTTTTAAACATTTCTGTACTAAGTCTTGGAATTGAGATTTGACGCAAACATGTCCAAATGTTTTAAAAAATGTAGATTATTCGTTGTGAAACAACTAATACTTAGCTAAAAGACAAGCAGGGATATTTTTTATACTTTGTTTAGTTTATTTTTGAGGTAGCTCTAACCAGCTTGGGATGGAGGGAACTGTTTAGTTTTGATCATCAGTAGCCCACTGAATAAAGGCCAAGCTATTGAAATTATGTCAAATACAGTTCCTTCAGTGAAACAGACTAAATATCCACACAGTTCCCTACACACTTCAGGATTCTTCAAACATATAGAATTGACTGATCTCTATGCTTCTTCAAGATGCAAAGAACTGAAATGCACTCTTTGGCTTTGTCATCCTCTAAGGCTCAGTTTTCAAACAAAAACATGTAACTACCACCTTTCCAAAACTACAGTATAACAGAACCTACAAGGAAATCTTGAACAAGGTTTAGGGGAAACAATGCATTGCTTCACTAACCCAAGGAGACATCAAAAAGCAAGCACAAAGAGCTTTCCTGTGAAACAAAGGCTTCTCTTCCAAAATGTGCAGGGAAATTGGTGGGTTTGTTTGTTTTTCTTTTAACCCTAGGGAAAAGGACAGCCGGAATAGCTCAACAGAAAAAAGCATAAGAGATTATAAAATATATAATACTTGGCCCAGGGTAATCTCATAGGAGAATCCTAGTTTAGTAGTCAGGTATCAATCCGTCAGACTACCAGAGCACCTTGAGAGAAGTACTAGTAGACATGTATTCTCCTGTTTTGTTCCCATCTCAACCGACACCTTTTACACCTTTCCACCAGCCAACAGAGTTAGGTTATTAGCTTAAGCGACACTCACAGCAAACAGATTACATTCTTATCACCTTGAAAACATTTCAGCTGAAGTTATAAAATGTATGACCAGTCATGTGACCACTTTTACCTGTGGTAATTGAACAACTCAATTCTTTTAGAGCTTGAGCTCTGACCTGACCCACAATGGAAATCTAGTTCAGTATTAAATAATTATGTAATGTATTACTTAATCTCTCCAGGTTTAATGTTACAGAACTACTAGAAGATTCTGCAGAAAAAAAGTTACACTTTCCTTTTCCCCTCATTTAACATGAAGAGCAGACTTTCCTTATATGACACTTAAGACAAATGCTCTTATCAAAGATGTGATATTTTGGCATGTTATAAACCTCCCTTTGTATTACATTAGTAATGATATTGTTTGTGCATTTTTTGGGAAACACTTAAGTTCACTGTACTGCTTAAACAAATTCAGCTACTAGACATATAGCTAATCCTAGACAATGATCTACCCCTCTAGTAGCTCAGATTACTTTGAAAAGTAATTTTGTGCTCATCAAAAAATTAAATCTAGCAAAATACAGGATGTTGCTGCAACCATTATTTCCTTCTCCTGCAAATTTGAAGAGTGGTACTACACAGACCAGATATAAGTCTCAGGTATTTTCAAGAACCTATGCAGGTGCTGAATTTTCAGTTTATTCAGTTTATTCTTATTCTTTCCTAAAGAAGGGTATGCCTTTTTGCAGAAGGAGCTCAAAAACATTACTACTGCTTTAACAAACATCAGATGTGTTCTGCAAATTTAACTACCTTTATTCCTCTAGCCATTTTGGTTCTTGCATCTGCTTAGTTCTTGCATCCGTATTTGTTTGATACCCCACTTTATAGCTTGATATATTTTGGAGTGAGGAGGACAAAAAGCAAAGAATCTCTGAATTGAAACTCGGCCTTGTACTCACTCAAAATGCATAGGACATGTCAGGGGCCAGCCAGCAGGCATTCCCTGAAGACATGCAGGAAGCAAACCCAACGCGTTATTAAAGGTGGCACAGTGCACTCAGCTAAATGAGCACTATTCCCCAAACACACAACTTCCAAGCCTGGGCAAAGTGAAAATGAACAAGGAAGACAGTACTAATATAAAAACACAACAATCCAGAGCCAATGAAACAGTTGGCAAGTGAACCTCTTAAAAATAGAAACTTTAATGCACCCTCATGTATTCAGTGTGGATGAAGTTTGCTACTGAGGTCTACAAAAGCAGCCTTTTCCAGATGAAAAACGCCACAGTGCTCAATTTCTCTCAAAATACCATGGAAGTAGGTTTAATAATGGATCCTGTGGAGTCTTTTTCTGTAAATGCCTCTAACCTTTGCAGGTTGATAGTTTGGTTGTTTCGTTAGGGTTTTTTTAAGAGACAGGGATCTTTCTAAAACAACACTACTCCTTTCCATAGTTAGCATAAAACAAACTCCTTGGAGTAGGAAGAATGAGAGAACAGTATCAAGTTGGTCTGAAACTACATCTGGCCTAGACCCTCACAAAAATGGTAAGAATTTCCATCAATACACTGAGCTGCCACTCCCTGAAGAGATACTATTCTTTCTGGGAAAAAGTTTCTCAGATATTCAAGAGTCTTGTCCAAAATAACCCTACTGACAACCCATCAGCTTCAGGTTTTAGGGGCAAGCCAGTGTAGGAAAGAAGAGGATATTACATCTATCATACCTTTTGATGTCTGGAGACTACAAGATGACAACAAATTTATTCTCAAAACATGTGAAAACCATGTATCATGACACAGAATTTCTGCAGAGACCAAGCCCTTAAATTATGAAAAGTATTCTAGGGAACCCAGATAGAAAAAGAGTAACGCTCTTAACAATACGTCCAGAGTTACTAAAACCAACCTTTGAAAGGTTTTCTGTAAAGATGATCTGAGCTCTTTTGAGGCAACATATAGCTAAAGAAAAGTAATTTCTTCCTTTTCAGTGAAGTATGTGTTTTGGAGAAACTTTCCACCTATGAGAAACCATTGATAACACTGGTTTTCTCTAGTGAGCAGCACAGGACTTTTTACATCAGTGTTTAGAAGGCTACTTTGGAACAATGAATATAACAGACTAAGTCAAATAATTACACAGGGACCTGGGGGTCTGAAAAACTGAACTGCCTGCTTCCCCCTACTCTTGGCATTCACATCTAGCTTCAATTCCTGCCAGTATGGCTACCTGGTATCACTGCTTCAAAAGACACTGCTTACAGACTTACAGGCCAACAGTTCTTTTTCTACATTCATTGACTTGGAATGGGGGAAGTCTTTGGTTTGGATATCCAAGCCTCGTTGCCTTTAAGTAAGAGAAAATGGCATACATTTTCGTTAACACCATGTATTATTTTAAATTCCCTCTTCTGTATTGCATAGCAGGAAGCTCAGAGAGCACTGGTTCCCTTGCAGTCTTTACCTATATAAAGCTTACATTGCCAGGAAGGTATTCAACCAACCAAATAATCAGAGGTCATCACAAGATCAAGTAATCAGCCTGATCTGGCTGGACATGCATGTGCATGCAGGAAAAATAGAGTGGGTGAAAAATTCTACAGGAATTCCACTCCACAAAGAATGTAGTTCTGGGCAGCTTACACTACAGCAAAGCCTATTCTCAACATCAAAGCAGTGGAAACACTGAGGAGGAGCAGCTTTCTTTGCAGGTTATGGACATTTTGTATAGGTCCATTAAGATAAGCAAAGATAAGGACTTGCCATCAGGCTAACCCCTATAGAGCAGTTAGAAACAATAGTAAACTGGTTTTGATTTACTTTTTTTACTGGAATTATCACAAATCCACTGACTGCAGTCAAAATGCTCAGCCCAAGAATAGCTGCTCACAAAGATTTCCTGCTTGCCTGCAAATGCGTTTACCTCAAACTGTTTTTAAAAGCTATGGAATAAATCCGTTTCAGTGCCAGAGAGCTCAGTATTTCTTTCACAACTGTGACAAGAAAAAGGACTAAAATTCTGAGGAAGCTTTCAATTTCTATTTTTTTCTTCTGGGATAGAGACAAGATAATCCTGGAGCAATTGAAGAGGCACTCATATTCACTTTTCAAGTATTTGTGTTCAGGATATTATAGTTTTTTCAGTGTAAGACAGTGTGTCTTCTAAGAAGTCCAGGGCTTGGCTCTGATACATCTCAGGGTACACAGCAATTTCATAGCTGGCCACACAGAAGATGAACAAGCCAGACATGTAGATTTTCCTTCTGAACACTTCTCTTGTATTCAAGACAGAATGATGGATTTAGAGGTTTTGCTGAACTTCAACTACTACATTACAGGACCCTTAAGCTCTGCAACAGCAACATGGACTGCAGCTGGCACACTATATTTTTTTCTTCTTTTCTATTAAAAAATGGGGATAAAAGCAAAACAAAGACGGCCTCTTGCTAGTCTGTATTTGTACTGAAGACAAGTCATAGTAATTTGTTGAGGAGAACAACCTCTAGAGACTAAACCATTTCTCCCCAACAGCTTCCACAGTTAGCACATGATGCAACCATTTGGTCCTCCAACAACTGCCTTTTGTACATTTTGCAAGGACTCTGTCAAGAGACATAAGTAAATGCTCCTTCAAATCTACCCGATCTGCTGCTGGTAGCACCAGTGGTGGCAGGAGGCACAGTATGCTATGTAGTAGTGCACCAGACTCATAATTTGACAGAGACCTGTGCTATGAGTATTGCCAGTGTCCCAAATCTCCTATCAGATCTGTGATGGGTCACAGTAAATCCAGGAAAACCTAGCTGGAACTTGGGTTGGGTATCATAGCATTTTAAAAGTGAAGATGATGAACTTAAGCAATAGTGAGAAACAGGATAAACCTATAGGCTCAAGTGGTTTCTCAGCAGAAATGAAGCATGGAGAGACCAGAATCTGACCTTTGGAAAAGACATGCGAAGGCTTAGACCCCAATATTGTTCCAGCAGCACAACCAGAAATTGTGGGATAATGAACAGTTTAATATTGGCAGGTTCAAGTTTCTAGACAAAGAAAAATGACAAACTAATATAAATTACAATAAGCACCTTACAACAAACTCTCTCTTTGCACAACTTCAGACCTACTTCAAAAAACACTGATGCACACAGAGAAACTCAGCCTGCTATGCACTGTGGTTAACTGCTCAACTTCTTCTGCAGAAGCAAGTTATCAGCTCTGCAGACGCTTTCTGAGCACCTCACACAAGCCATAGGATCACTCATTGGAACATCTACATGCTAGAAACTTCATAGCTCCGTTTACTCTCTTTACTCTCAAATTTTAGAATTTAAATTAAAGCTTCACATAATGTATGCTAAGCAATGCACTTACGTGCTTTTCTTACTCTTTTCTCTCAACTCCTTTTCATAATATTTCCTCTCCCACTCATCATTTTAGCCCCTCCCTTCTCATAGCAGATCACTGCTGCTTTATCGAGTGTCACTCAGCACTGGAGGAAACTGAAGGCAAGAGACAGCTCATTTTTTTTTTTTTTTAACTTGACTAAACTGTACACATACTTCTTTCTGACATTTAATAAGGAAAAACTATAGAAGGTTTCCAAACTTCTAAATCATCCACTCTTTTTTCCAAGCTTTCTTCTCATTTTCATGATTTCGTGTATCACCTCTAAGATACCTTCAAATGCCCTCTTATAAACTTTCTGATATCCTTGATACTGCCTGCACCAAACTAAAATATTTTTCTTTTACCTTAAGATGTGTTTTCACTTCTGAAAAATATTCAAAGTAAGCAGTAATATCCTGCTGTTTAACCTGTTTTGTCTCAAATTTTTCAGACATATTCAATGTTTAGAATAACCATCCTATTTTTACTGTTTTTTAAGAGAATAGCTTCCTGATCTAATGAAGGAAATACAATGCCAGTGACCCATTAATAATCCAGAGAGCTACTACAAGAAACTCAACTGAGCCAGTGTCCTTTCGGTCAACAGTAAATGAAGTGCACAAATAAAAATATTTTAATTTCTGAAGCTGGAAATTACTTGATTTAGGAATGGCTTTCTTAATTCTTTGGTGCATTTTTATATCTTGAATAAGACTACAAATACAATAATGCATTGGTCTCCCAAAGTAGTACGCCCTTTGCATTCACATCAGTTACAGACAAGTACAAAGTATTTTCCCTTACCTTTCTTCTGTGTTGAAAAGATAAAGCACTGTCTCATGATTTCTTGCTGCTGTGCTGAGGCTTACTTACCGCTTCAGAATTATCAATGAAAGGGTCCGTCTCGTCGTAGCCATAACCTATATCAATTAGATCCTGCAGGCGATCTTTCCGATGTTTATGGGGCTTTCCACCCTGAAGACAAAGCAAGTGTTACATCACTTAGGAAACATGGAAGCAACATACTAAAGCCTACAAAGCATAAGGCATTGGAGGAATAGTCATTCAAGGAATTAGCAGTTTTGCTTTCTTGAATGTTTCCTTGAAGATGGTCTATACGACTAATGACAACTTCCACACACGGATGCATTCTGGCAAACATGCCTCACCAGAATCATCCCTGAAAAGCAGTTACTAGCTACCTTTGTCTGCAAGACCAAGAGCTTCCTTCATCTCTATTTAGAGATTCTTCCCTGTCCTACGGTTTTAACGTATAGTGACTGGACTGCCAATGCTGGAAGGGCTGGGATAATTTAGAAACAGTCACTTTTTTCAGTATTCTACAGAATCATTACAAGTGAAAATAATGATAGCCTAGTTTTCCCTGCACAAACACTTTTTTCCTAAAGTGTTTCCCTACACAAAATGGATTAATTCTCTATAGCACATAAAAAGTTGAGTTTTAAAACATAAAATGATACTTGAGTATTAAAGCCAGAAGGCCTAGTTTTCTAGCTCACGTATATTATCAAAATCATCGATAAGTCTTAAAAGATAAAATTCTCAAAAAAACACTGCCCTCATTAAAATGGTAACTTCCATGAATTCAAGACTTGCTCCTGAAACTTCTCTGCCTGCACCCTACAGCTGTGAGCATCTAGCTGTGACATCCAAATACCAGGGTCCACTTGTTACTATGAGAATGCAGACACTGTTCAAAGGTGGTTTCACCCTTGCTCTTCTATGTGAGATGTAAGCATCTCAACACCTCCATTTTAACAATATATTGAGAAAATGCAAATTTGTAACCAAGTAAAGCACGTGCTCTTGCAAGCAAACAGGAATCTCTCAAATACACTTAAATTAACAAATGCAATAGGTGCTAGGAGAAAAACTTCAAAAGTCCGTTCTGCTTTTAATTCACATATCCAAGCTACATCCCAAGCTAAGTACTCCTATTGGTCCTATCATCTCCACCAATCACTCATCTGGAAAAACATCTGAATGACTGCACATTTCCAAAACACGCAGTACTTTCTTTAAAAAAAAAAGTTTGCATGAGATGGATGAGAGAAGAAAAAGTAAGTTAGAAAAAGGCAGCACTTAAGAATTCTAATTAAACTCCAGTGAAAAAGCTTATATAATTCATGCTTCTGACTTGCGTGCCAGCAGGTTAAGAATGCTTCATAAACCATACTTCACCTGTACGGATCTTACTAATGTGTAATGCAATCCATCTCTGTACTACATATATCTTGCAAGTAACCATCAACATCCTTGTTTTCGAGTCTAAAATATTTTTGCAGCAGTGATTATCCTATGATTTTATGATTTCAGTATAATACAAGGGCAATAAAAAAAATTTAAAATTTCCAATACATTCTGACTGCCTGACAGTCAGAAAAACAGATATGTAACAAAGGTAGTTAAGAAAAAAATAGTCCTATAATAGCTGAATGAACAGCAGTCTTAAAATAGTACCTGTATTCAGACATACAAAAATATATGAACCACTCCAAGTATAATTAAGAGATTTTCTTTCATGTTCAGGCCTGGCTCTAACCATTTATGTTTAAGGAACTGTGTTGAGATTTCACGTGATCAAGATGTTAAGGATGCAAGACTGCAGCAGAAGAATGAAGGGATTATCTGTGTCACTGTCCACCACGTAGCATTTCAGGGAAGTTTTACCACTGCAGCTTTCCTCCAACCTTTTTGTCCCATAACACTAGTCAAAATACTACAGCAAATTAAGGTGTCTAGTTCCTGAAGCTGAAAATACCACTCATGCAAGTATTCAAAAAAGCCAAAGATGACTTTAATATATTAACTGTCATGTAATCTTACATTTAAGCAACCTTTGCCCAACAGGAATAGAAGGTCAGTGGCAAATACAATGCCAATACCTGAAGAAGCTTGAAGAGCAGACTCTATAAACCAGTAAACATGGTCTTTATGGTGGATAAATTAATAAAAGCTATAAACAAAAGAACCAGCAGGCACAAGAATATACAGAGCAGGAAGAAATGTTGGTAGAATAAAATATTTCAAATGCTTTAAAAATGGTG